GTGCAGGGCTGTACAACAGTTGCGAAAAGTTGAGATATGCAAGGTAGTTCACCCACCCCAAAGCTGTCTTCTCCCGCTTCTCGAGTCGCTACGGAGGCGCTCACGCAGTATTGTAGAACGTGAGAATATAAAAAGTGAATGTAGATAGCGTAATCAATCTTCACACTTTCAAAAACATTTTTTCCAAAATGAAATTTTTTTTAGCTCTCGAGCATACACGTCGAGCCACCTTTGTCGGTACCGCCCAATATGTGAGCCCAGAGATGTTGCGAGGTGATGAAGTTGGACCACCGTGAGTTAACTCAGAATTACTTTTTCGATCAACTTAGTCGAGTCGAAAGTATAGTTCACATTTGTCTGAAAACAAATGAATTTACAATTAGCAAAGTTAATACCATTACCGCCTAACACCCTCTTCTACCCTCTGTCGGGTGGCTTCATAATTCCTTCCCAACAGAAGGGAGCTGTTTTTCTTCAATGCGGTCATAGTCTTCATATTCGGAAATCTTTTTCCAGCCAGATGATTTTTCAGTGAGGGTAAGGCGGGCTTTCTCTGGTTTTATGGGGCATTCTGAAATCGCTGACAAGTCTGAAGCATAGTATCTAATTTTTACCTGACTAATCTTGAAGCGTATACCCCTATTATGGAGTGGGCGGAGACTCTGTCATTTCTCGTCATTTGGCCTTATCCTTGACGGATCTCGCTCCTTTGTTGTGCCTGAGGGAGGGGGCACTATCCAGAAAAGCATATTGGTTGTGAGGTTTAGCCCGTCGATCAAATTATCGCGAAATACGTTCCATGACATTTGAATCACACATCGGCGACGATCTACGAATGTTATTATATTATTTCACTTTTTTAATTATACCATTTTCACTAAATTCACCCCTTTTCAACAAATCACGGCGGTTTAACCAATTCACGAGGTGCCGTTTTCAAACCACCAATTCACCCGTTTTCAAACAATTTCACGAAGCCTTTTTCAAACCAAATCACCACTTCCATTGATTCGCCACCTTCGCAAATCACATTCCACACAACTTATTGGGGGGCTACGCAAGTCATCTTCAAATAGGCCGGCACTAGTGGGGCCGCCCGCTCGGGCAGCCCACTTGTTATTTTGCGGATTTGTTTATATTTTTCAAAATTATTGGCATTTGGACTGCTGGCATGGGCCCCGCCATGGTATGAGAGGCTCGCCCACTTTGGAGAAGCTCCGCCCACTTTTCAAAAATGATGCAAGTCGGCAGTATAAGGTCTTGGCTTTCATGCTAGGGTCTCGTTCGTCACTCGGAACAAACTTTGCCTGATTTTCTTGTTCCGAGTGACGAACGAGACCCTAGCATGAAAGCCAAGACCTCATACTGCGATGCTCATTATTTGAAAGTGGGAGCCCAGCTTCTCCAAAGTGGGCGGAGCCTCTCATACTGGGCGGGGCTTCACGCAGCAGTCCAAAAATGCAATAATTTTGAAAAAATATCAAAATTCCGCAAAAAGCAAGTGGGCGTGGCCGAGGGGGCGGGGCCCGCAGTAGTGTCCGGCGTGATTTGGTAGATGACTTGCGCAGCCTAATAAGTGTGGTGAATTTGATTTGGAAGGTGGGCGAATTCGATTTGGAAGGTGGGTGAATTTGGTTTGAAAAAGGGTGAATTTGGTTTGAAAACGGGTGAATTTGGTTTGAAAAGGGTGAATTTGGTTTGAAAAGGGTGAATTTGGTTTGAAAAGGGTGAATTTGGTTTGAAAAAGGGTGAATTTGGTTTGAAAAGGGGTGAATTTAAAGTGAAAATGGTATATCATAATCTTCAGGGTCTTTCTGTTTGATGCTTGAAAATATGGTACAATATGAATATGTTACAGATGTGACTATTGGGCGCTCGGTGCTACAGTCTTTCAAATGATCTCAGGACAAGCTCCATTTCGGGCTGTGAATGACTTTCATCTGATGAATAAGATTCAGAAGCTTGACTTTTCATTCCCTGCAGGATTTCCTGATGTTCCCAAAGACTTCGTCTCGAAGCTACTGGTGAGATATCAGTCCTCTTACGTTTCCTTGTAATCGTTTGTTTAGTGATAGTGATGTTCAGTTGAGAGTTCCTAAAAGGATACTGCTACATTTACTGGTGTGGGTCAGGAGATTCGCGCTGGGATGGCGTGATTCCTCGTGCCAAATTGATTAGGTGGTGGTACGAGGGCCACACCCGCAATTCAAGTCTCCTGCTCCGCCCCTCTAATTCAACTTCTTTTGATGCCTAATGTTCCCTGAAAGTACTTTTTGAAATATGAATTTGCATGTTCATCAAGGCTTTGTATAGGGGAGGGGGGAGGTATTGGATCAATGGATTTTCGACTTGGGTCACGAGATTTAGCAGCCCTCAAATCCCACGAATTTTTCAATGGAGTCGACTGGGAGAATATCGTGTGAACGCGACGCCGCCAGACATATTAACCCAGCAGTTTCGCCAGGGCTAGGTTCTCTTTCTTGCAAGAATCTTACAAATGGTTTCGAAAAAAAATTAATAAAAGAGTTATATCTTATACCATTGCTTTTTCTTAAGAGGAAGGCCGAGCTAAAATCTATTCGATAACATGCTGAGCCATGGTCTGACGAAAAGCCTCATCGATTGATGATTGTCTTTGAATGGATGGGCCCCGTGTAAGTTTCCTGCGTTCGCTTTGCTCTGTTTGCTCTTTCAAATCTGATACAGCCCTTATTTCAGCAAGCAGCTATCCCTCGACAGCGAAATCTTGAACAATGCTGTAGATATTCCAAGGTTTGTTGAGAAGCTGGATAGGGACCACCTTTTTGAAGGCAGTGGGCTAAGATGGTTCCTGGGGGCGGCTGTGCAGTCAATTGTGTTGGCGGAGGGCGGAGTGGGGTGTGGCCAAACGGTTTCTCGCAGTCTTTCCACCAGTTTCTTGGCAGCAACCGCCTGGCCCTCAGCCATGGTGCCCTCTGCCTCTTATTTATTTTAAAGGCACTTTTCGTAATTGCTTAAAAATACTAAAAACGGGAATGAAAACAAAGCATGTAGTGCAACCTGATAGCCAACTTGTGTTCAAAAGGTATAAGTTGAGATATTAAAGGCAGTTGGCACGATGGTTTCCTACTTAGCCTAAAATGCTAGTAGGGCGCTGTATAGTGGGGAAATGGCGAAAGAACGGAGTGAAACGGTCAAAATCCTGCGAAGAAAAAGCCTCCGTTCTCAGTGACTTGAAAATCGATTTCGGACGAGTTTCCCGTAGGCATCTTACCAATCACCGCTACCGAAGATACGGCTGCATATGTGTACCCATGTATGCATGCAGCATCA